AAAGGTAAACGACAAATTATAGTTCCAGGACGACAACATACGCACGGTAATTTGATAACTATTTCTAATTACTAATTCGTAGTTGGTATCCAAGATTTCGCATTAAAGTTGATAAGGCAGCAGAATAATTTTAGAACGAATGCGAAACAGGTGTTAATACCGGAGGATGGTCACACCAAAAGCATTTACCCTACACCAGTCTAATCACGGCTGGATACAGTTCCACAGCGGAGACACCTCAGGATCAAAAATCAGTTACTACCAGAACGAAAAGTCAGAATAATATGGATATAATGAAGAAGTCTAGCCTTCTCGTTTCAAACCATCTTACCATTTTCATCGACTGATTTGTAATACATGGGATACTTGGTGACAGAAGTGAGGCATTTCAGCGGTTTGGCCAACATCTCGTCCAACTGCTGTTGCAAGTCCCGCACACGACTCTCAAGCTTGCTCACGTCATTGCGTTTTACGTTCGGTCTGATCCTGAAGAAAACTGGTTTACATGGATGAAGTGAAAGTGCTTTGCAGAAACAAAATAAACCAATAACAAGCAACTGAAAAAGACATGCAAAAGTAACACCAAAATAATGAATTTGAAAGTAGTAGGTGCTCTTCAATGGAAACTTCTATGGACCTAGCACTGATTTTGGATTAAAATTAACTCATATTTGTTGATTTAATATTTTTTCCCTTAGCTATTTAAATAGTTTAGTCCAGATTTATGGAGTGCACAACTACTGTGAAATTCAGAGCAAGATCCGCAACGACCTTGCATCTCAAGATATCGAGTTATCTGTGAGTAGAGATTTGCCTTACCATTTGTTTTGAATCACGAGCTTTATTTTGGCATAGACGTTGTTGATACATTTGAATGGTTTTGGCATTAGGGCAAGGTTGCAAGAGTAGGGTGACGAGTTTGAGACGGGAGAACATGAGCAGAGCGCGTCTTCTGAAGAATTTTGTAGCGGAACAAGGCAGGGCACTTGTTTACTCTTAACTTTCGCAAATGATTTACTGAATTAAGTACTTTTTCATGTCCGTATAAAATTTATAAATAAAATAAATTTAAAATGACTGATGTGTGCCTGACCACTGCCCAATTAAGATCAAGATACGCATTGAACCTGTATGTCACGATGATAAACCACCGACTTACTAGCCGGAAAGGCCAGCTTAGTGTAAATACACCCCCTCCCTCCATCG